AAAATTAAATGCATGTTCACCAATGCTAGAAGTCTAGTAATAAAATAGAAGACCTTGAAGTTATGTTACTCGAGGAGGACTACGATATAGTGGGAATAGCAGAAACATGGTTAGACGCCACACATGATTGGGCTACTAACATAGAAGGGTACAACCTGTTCAGGAGAGACAGGCTGGCAAGAAGGGGGTATGTATATATTCTAACAATAACCTCATTATTCACATCCGTGACGATATCGCATCAGCTGGTGGAGATGATGTGGAATCGTTATGGCTAGAACTAGATAAGACGAACCGTAACTTATTGTGGGTGTCTGTTATAAACCTCCAAATATAGGGGAGGAGGAGGAGGCCCACCTACAATCCCAAATAGAAATAGCGGGGAAAGAGGGTAATGTTGTGGTAATGGGAGACTTCAATTACCCAAGTATCAACTGGGCTAATGGAACTTCCAAATCGGCTAAGGCAGCCCGTTTTCTTCATATGTTGCAAGACAATTTCATGGATCAGATGGTTGAGATCCCGACTAGGTAAAATGCAATCCTAGATCTGATCATCAGCAATAATACGGAGTTAATTGAGGATATTGAAATCGGGGAGACACTGGGCAATAGTGATCACAAGGTGATAGCTTTTAATATTGGGTGCAAGAAAGGGAAGGGGGATGGGCCGACGAGAAGCCTAAACTTCAGGAAGTTTAACTTTGATAAACTACGCAATATAGTGGGTGAAATCGATTGGGAAAACGTATTTGATACACTAAACTTTGACCAAAAGTGGGACTGTTTCAAGAACAAATTAAAAAATGCTATTACCAGGTGTATACCGCAGGGGGAACAAAAGTAAAAGATCAAAAACAAAGCCAATATGGCTAAATAAATCGGTAAAACAACACATTAAGGGGAAAAAAATAGCATTTAGTAAGTATAAAACGGAGGGGACATATTGGCATTCCAAAACTACAAAGAATTTAATAGAAGATGTAAACTGGCAGTGCGGGCAGCTAAAATTGAATGTGAAAAATATATCGCCGAAGTTAGTAAAAAGAACCCCAACATTTTTTATCAGTACATACACAGTAAAAAGGTGAGAAAGGAACAGATAGGCCCAATAAAGGACATAAATGGGTTGTTACTCACAAACGACAGGGAGAGGGCCGAGGCGCTAAATACTTTCTTCTCGTCGGTATTCACCGAGGAAACAGATGGGTTCAATGTACATGATAAAATACAAAATTTAACAAGAAATACACCTGAGTGGTTGACGGAAACTAGGATACAACATAGGCTTAAACTACTAAATACAAATAAAGCATTATGACCTGATAATCTACACCCCAAGGTACTCAAAGAACTGAACAAGGAGATAACGAGACCATTGTTCCTCATTTTTTTTTTTTTTCTAATGGGTGAAACAAATACTTTGTTCCTCATTTTTAAGGAATCCGTAATGGCTGGTAGAGTGGCAAGCGACTGGAGAAGGGCTAATGTGGTACCTATATTCAAAAAAGGGTCAAAATGCCAACCTGGGAACTATAGGCCAGTTAGTCTGGCATGCATAGTGTGTAAACTGTTGGAGGGAATTATTAAGGACTACTTAGTGGAATTCGTCCAGGATAATAGTATAATAAGTGATGTACAGCACGGAATTTAGGAAGGATCGTTCTTGCCAGACCAACCTGCTGACCTTTTACGGAGAGGTAAGTAGAGATCTGGATGGGGGGAGGCCGTTGGACGTAGTATATCTGGACTAGTTCCTTGGAGACATAAAGGGGTACAGGTACTGCTAAGAGAAAAATCACACATGGACTCATATACACGCACACACACCGCTTCAAACATAAATGCATACACGAAATAGGTTGGACTTGATGGACTTATGTCTTTATTCAACCACAAATACTATGTAACTATGTTTGGGGGCTCCACTAAGGGCCATAGAGAAGTGAGAAGGCTACATGCAGCCCCAAAAAACAGACATTTTCATTGGTGTAAACATTTATCTTTCACCAAGAAGAACATTGGGAGGTATCTTTTTTTCGCAATCAACATATTTTTGGCCAGCTTGAAGAGCTTGCTCGAATTGCATTTTTGCAATTGTGCACAACTGAAGATTTCAACCTGATTAGGTGACTTATACAGTATCTTGGGTTTTGTAACATACTATGTCATTTGCTGCATACGTTAGGAGACATGTAGCTAACTAATTTGTAACTGGTTATAAAACTGATCATTTGTACAACAGCAAGAGAAATTACTAAACCACATAGTACTGCATGTATGCCAGTGCCACCATTCCAGTGAGTTTAAAGTATAAGATACAAATTTATATTGAGGGTTTTTTTTAGAAAACAATATAATTTATAGGTGTTTCCAGCACCTCCTTTTAAAGTTGAACTCAAAGCAGGTATAAAAGACAAAAGATAACACAGTTCTGTATTAATGCATCACTATTTGTGAACGGCATACCTTTGACAGATTGACTGCAAATGCTAAATCCATGGATAATGTTGCGGGGAAGAAGAGGAAGCTGGAAAACACATGTGTGAGTGGCAGGATCGCCAGCTATTATGCGTTAAGGTGGATCCAGGTTGCATAAAAAAGTATATGTCTTGAAATTTGAAGAGCAATTTACAATTGATTGTACAATGTTTTAAGGGTTTACATACAGTATACTTTCAAATGTATTTTTTTTAAGTTTAAAGGAGAACTATGGGGTCAGTGTTTTTCCCCATAGTTCTCCTTAGGGTAACGGGAGGACACAAACTAGCATCCTCCCTTTACCCTAAGCTCAGTATACTGCGAGCTACAGCTCGCGGTATATTGAGACGCCGGAGCGGATCCTGACATGGACGTCGAGATCCGCCCAGCTGCGGGAGTGACAGCTGGCTCTGCCTATCTAGAGGCATAGCCAGCTGTACCCGCCACCTCCCCGTCCGTTCCGCCAGTCAGCGCTGGCAGATCGGAGCGGGGAGAGGGGAATCCAGCCCCTCCCCCTGTCACGGCAGAGAGCCGTGACAGGATCGAGAGGTGAGCGAACCCAGTATGTGTTCGCTCACCTCCCGATCTACTGAGCCGACCTGTGACAGTCTCATTGTCACAGGTCGGCTAGAACTATGAGGTGAGTGGAAATCAGTCATCTCATAGTTCTCCTTTAAGTAGTATAAGTGCCAACATTTGACCTGGTATCAGTCTCTTGCAGTCCCTGTACAATAGAGCTCAGACAGGGAGGGGAAGAAGCTTATGTGCTATCAAGGACTATGCTTGATAGAAGAACAGGACAGAATTACAGAGATATGAGCTAGTTAGTCTGCTGCTTTCCCTTTCACTGTCTAGTCACAGGCTGTGGGAGAACCAAGACCAAACTGCAGCAGAGAAAAATCAGGTCTTCACCCCTGCCAGGTTGTGTTGTGCAGCAGACAAGTGTAAAGCTACGGACTAGATGGACAGAAATACAAATCTTTTGGCAGGTCTTTTGTATGTATTTAACCTGCAAACTGTATTTTGTTTGCCTTTTTTCGCTTTAAGAATAGTATTTCTTCCAAGAGCAGCAATTTTCTTGAATAAAGAATGTGTTGCTATACCAATACCTCCAATTTCCAAGACTGCGTGACTGGCATGCATCTCTGTGGACAAGAAAAAAATTTTCATTTAGGGTCCTTTCATTTCCAGATGTAATCTTTAACGTCTTCCACTTAATAAATTATCAAATTGAACGAAATGTCAGACCTTGAGACCTGAGACTTTGAAATGTAAGTGTAGATGGACCCTTAGCTGTATGGTAGCAACCATAACATTAAATAATTGCTTTCCTTGAAGCCCGACATTCCTACTTTTCTTCTTTTTTTCTTCTTGCTTGTATAGCCATTATATGTACCGTAGAGCCTACTTGTTACTCAAGTGAGATCGATTCTGTGAAGGAGACTTCAGTTTTTATTTAAGGCCAGTTGTTTTTCTGCTTTTTACATTTTGAAGGTTGAATGTGCAGCTTTTTTAATTGCTTAGCTTATATTCGTAAACAGGTAAGGGCTGCTTGATGCAAGTCCTGCATTTTGCTCTTACAATTTGAAGCTGGGGTTTTGGAAGTGTATATTCGTTCAAACCAGTCTTCATTAATCACTAGACTTGTTAGCCCCCTATGTGATAGCAATAAAGTTAAGTGTAAAAATGAAAGTAACAGATTTTAAAAAATGCAAAAAAATAAAATGTTATGTCCCCAGCCCCCCACGTGCATGCACATATACCGCAAACAAGCTTCACATGCACCTACGTGCAAAAAGGAAAATTGCACCGCACATTTTACATATCGCCGCAAGCGCCAGGGTGAGAGCAATAATTTTAGGGCCATCAATCACTGTTAGCACTAAACTGATGAGCCGTAAAAGCGTTTAAAGCGCCGCCTATGGGAAATTTTGTTATTGTAGTTTTTGCGGTTTCACGGACACACGCAATTTTAAGGCTTGACATGTTTGGTATCTATTTGCCCGGCTTGACCCCATCTTTTATATATATTTTTTAAATTCTTTAAAAAAAAAAAAGGGGGGGGGGAGCGTAGGGAGGAAAAGACAAAATCTTTTATATTTTACCAAAAAAATGGATATTAGATTATGTTTCTGTGCAGTAAATGTAATTTTAGTTTATTTTATCCTAAAAATACTTGTTTGATAAACATTTGCGCAAATACCTTGCAACATAAAATATTGCAACAAGCATCTTTTCATTCTACAGGGCCTCTGCTTTCAGAAAATATTTTATTGTTTTGGGGGTCTGAACCTGTTTTCTAGCCAAAAGTTCAGATTTTATCATTTGTGTGCAAATGTAAGAAATTGCTCTGGGCAGCAAGTGGTTAATGTGTGCATGTGTACCATTAAAAACAAAGCAGGATCATAACACTTTGATACAGCTTTACATTGAAGTAAACCTGATTTGTAGTGTTGCATTGTCCTATTAAGTTAAAGCCTAATTGTACTTAATTCGAATTTGATTTTTCCCCTGCTACAGCGCATACAGTCTGGAATTTTAAAAGCATTCAACAACCCGACAACTAAAACAGCAGATGAAGATACAAGGAGAATAATCAAAGGTAAGCTGCTTCACATGGATTGCTTTTGGTTTAAACTCATATCATAAACTCATATCAAGGATCATCAGTGTGGGAGACAAGGAGGACTCTCTTTATGGCATACCAGTTTGTCCTCCGTGCATCTTCTGGATCTAATTGACCTTTTATTCAGAAATGGGAGGGGGATCTGCACGTTAAGTTCTCCAATGAACAGGTCAATTGGATCTTGTTTTTCACCCATAAAGCCTCCATTTGTAACAGATATCAAGAAATCACCTACAAGATTATGACCCCCTGTGTCTTAGCCAAACTCTTTCCAGGACAATCTGATGTCTGTTGGCACTGTCATGTGCACAGAGGTACCTTCCTTCCTATTTTCTGGGAATGCCCTTTGATTAAATCCTTTTGGCAACAGGTCTTGGGTGTAATTATTACCTTAACTGGGTTTGACCTTACTGATTGCCCCGTTGCTGTCCTCCTATATTTGACTCCAATGTCCCAGAGAGATACAAAAAAATCACTGTTGAGGCATCTGTTGAACGCCGCCCAGGCATGTGTTCCAAGTGCTTGGAAATTATCCAACCCCCAAACAATTGTACAGTGGTTTGCCAGGGTGAATGAAATCAGAGATATGGAAATCCTCATGGTAGCATTACATGACAGGCCTGAAGCCTTCTCAGATCTGGTTCTACTGGGAACAATTTGTCCTTTCTGATGAATATACTGCTCAACTGTATGCTGTTGTTTCCTGCCTTATTGGTCTCTGCTGGCTCTGAGCAAGGGTATCTTTTTCTCTCTCCTTTTTTTTTTGTCCTCTTGTTTTCCATTCATTCTTACTGCTTTTGTTTACTTTGGCTATGCGCTCTCCTGTTTTTTTTTCTCCTCCCCCCCCCCAGTGCACGCACTTTTCTCGTTTTGCTTTCTGCTCTGCTTTCCCTCTTCTCCACCCACTTTTACCCTACCCCCGGTTAGACTCATGTCTCCGTTAGTTCCCTGGCTGTTAAATTATTATAAAATTCCTGGATCCCACCAATGATTGCTTGCCTTTTAACTTTTAAATCCGTATTGAGTTTCTTTTATTTATTATTTGTAATACATGCATATTATTTTTCCTGGCTTGTAGACATGGTCCCCTTTCTGTAATGACCTTTGTCATTCATTCTTTTTATGCAATCTATACTTCTCTGAATGTTTTCTGTATCTTGGTGGTTCTTGTTAAATAAAGAATTTGAAACAAAAAAAGGACCATCAGTGTGGGAGACAAAAGTTCCACAGAGAAGTACAGATGTAGCGACCTATGCACATATGCTTATTTCCTTACTGATTACATGTTTTCTGATGTAGGGTGTGCATTAGATTCAGTTTGTATTGTAGTCTATCTGCAGCTAAAAGCTTCTTGCAAGTTGTGGATAGAGGATTAGAACTCCTGTCAGGTTTTACTGCTGTTGGAGGCTCCATTGGAAAGATTTCCATTTCCTATCTGGTAAAAAGGTTGTTCCCTGGACAGGTTGTGAGGGGAAATCTCTTTAACAACAACACAGACAGGAGTAAAAATGCTTTTTTTTGGGCTCATGCTCACAGGAGTGCACCCCTACAGAGACCTGCTCCTGATGTTACAGGTGCTGCGTGTATTTGCGTGCAGCCGCCTGCACATTCCTGTGGGAGGACACAGCTGCACAAGGCTAAACGTGGCCCTGAACCTGTAGGTCCGGTTGCCCGCACTAAAATATACACAGCACCTGTCCTTCCCAGAAGCAGGTCTTGGGCATGCACACCCATGTGAATGAGCCATTTCAGTAAATTAGGGGAATGCTGAAACCTCTGCTTTTTATTATCTGTTTCCCTTGTTGCAGATTTTCTCTGTATGGTAAAATGTCATCCCCAGAAGTGAAAGTGAGGGGAAATCTTTATATTGGAGCCCCAAATAGCATAGGAATAGGTTCTAACCTTTTCCCATTTTTCCAAAACAAAAAAAGAAAAAAGTTTGGGTATAGAATATAGATACACTGCCTTAAATATAAGTAAACCGTTGATGTCTATTGAGCAGGCTGACAACTAATAGCCCAATACATTTAAGGAGACACTGATCTGATCTGTTAGAATACCCATCTTGATCTCTCTATTTTGCCAGTGATAAATGGCTCTTTAGGAAACTCACTGCTCTCACAGATGTAGTAGGACAATCTGCTCATACCTGCACAGCTGACTGTCTTCCTCTATCTTCCTCTATTAATAGCCACCCTTTTGTTCCTACGCTGGCACTATTCATATTGCCATAAAAGAAAATTCCAGAACGCACATCTTGCCAATGCTGCCACTCAATAATAGACATGTGCTTTCTGGTTTGTGTCTGTATTGCCTGTTATGTAACTATCCTTTGCTACTCCAGGTCACCTCTAATTGTCCTTTAACCAGTGTATGAGAAATTTGAAGAGAACGTTCTGGTGGCATGGCGTCATTTATCATCTGTATTAAAGAAGAACACTCTCTAAACATGTCTAAATATTTTATTGGCAATTTTTTCTTGTTTCTGAACCTTAAAGAGCTGCTAATATACAGCATACATTAGCTGCCCTCCTAAACCACATACCCAAAATATTTCTTGTCTACACGTGCCCTGATCACTGGAAACTAGCCCCATCATTGCATTATCATGACTGATATGCCACAAAGAAAAACTTCAGTTATATCTCATGGCAGCAGAGCTTTGGTTGCTAATATTTTCAGATCTGCTTAGCTATTGCCTGATACGGAAGAGTGTCCAGAACTTTTTTTTTTTCTATAGTTCTTTCACATTGGTGTTGACTGTTAAACTGGCTATACATGTGTCAATTCGATAGAGCGATCAAACTTTTGATTCTTGCCAAAAACATTAAGATGGGATCCAAATTTCCCTGATCAAATGTGGAGTAAAAATTAGATTGTTTTAGAAGACAATAATTTTTTTCCTTTTTCAGTTCGATCTCTTAAACTGTATTGAATATATCAATTTATTGCCCAGTGTCAACTTCACAGTCAACTGAATTCTGGCAAACAATCAAACTTGTGGGTGATAGATTGATTACTTTTTGCGATTGCTAGGAAATTTATTTGCTATTCCTAGTAAATTGAAATTGGTTAAAATTAATTGAAATCTGACATATGTATGGACAGCTTTGAGTCAAACATTTAAGGAGCAGTCCTTTTGCAGTTTCCTTTAAAGTCTCTTGTAACCTTTTGATCAGACCATCAAAAAACAAAGGTTCAATTGTACAAATAAAGCCAGGGGGCCTTGTAGGTTTGCTTACTTATTTCATGGTACTGGAGCTCACAAAGAGTCTTAAACTCCTGGAACTAGTAGACATTATTTTTTTTCAGAACAATATATTGTTTTCTGAAAGAACACTGGGATTATGTTATACAAACAATATAATACAAGTAGCAGTCAACTTCTACTTTCTATATTAAAGGCATTTATTTTTAATATTTAAACATATAGCAGTACACAAGTGCACCACATGTCCCCAGACAGCACAACAAGGGCCGGTATGTACAAAGACTAAAGAAAAGCAAGCACTCGTACACGCAAGCATTCACTCCGTTCCCCTCAACCTCTCCGCACCTTCATAGGGACAACATGACTTCAACAATCATCACCCTAAGAAGGAATAGTCACAAAAGTGACATTTGGTTACTGGAGCCATAGGCTCCAAATTTTGTCCACCTTTTGCCAACATATATCAGTCTGTACTTGGGCAAGGCCACATCAATTAGGTGAATTACCTTATGGCAGACAGATGGATGATTATTTTTCCAGTCTAAGAGAATTGCTTTCCTTGCATTGAAACAGATTAAGTGAAACATGCTCCTGCAGTGTGTTCTTAGAATAAAGTCCTCAACATCACCAAGTAGAAGATATGTGCTGACAACATTGTTAAAGGATACGTTCACCTTTTGCAAAAATTAAAGAAATGCATAATTAATTATATATGAAAAAATATGCATTTCTTTAATATTTGCATTCAAGTCTGGAAAGCATTGCAATCGTGATCACTCGATCGGGGCTGCAGGGAATGTGAGGGGAGAGACCTGGAAGCAACTGTTCAGAAACATGATGACTGTACTTGTTTGAGCAAAAATGTAAAGCAACACTTTGCTGGGCAATGTATATTTGTTTTATCTGGATTCATTGTTAAAAAAAGGTTTGAGCATTTAATACCACTTTAAGATGTAAGTGATCAAGACCATTTGCCCAGTGCAGTCCTGAACCCTAAGTATAGAGGTAGGCAGGGATTTCACTCTAGCCAAATATGGACCTGTGATGTTCTGCTACACTATATTGCCAAAAGTATTGGGACGCCTGCCTTTACACACACATGAACTTTAATGGCATCCCAGTCTTAGTCCATGGGGTTCAATATTGAGTTGACCCACCCTTTGCCACTAATAACAGCTTCAATTCTTCTAGGAAGGCTGTCCACAAGGTTTAGGAGTGTGTCTATGGTAATGTTTGATTCTTCCAGAAGCGCATTTGTGAGGTCAGGTACTGATGTTGGATGAGAAGGCCTGGCTCCCAGTTTCTGCTCTAATTCATCCCAAAGGGGTTCTATCGGGTTGAGGTCAAGACTCTGTGCAGGCCAGTCAAGTTCCTCCATGGGAGCATAAAATTGTCCAAAATGTCTTGGTATGCTGATGCCTTAAGAGTTCCCTTCCCTTTAACTGAGGGGCTAAGCCCAACCCCTGAAAAACAACCCCACACCATAATCTATCAAACTTTACACTTGGCACAATGCAGTCAGGCAAGTACCGTTCTCCTGGCAACCGCAAAACCCAGACATGTCCATCGGATTGCCAGACAGGGAAGCGTGATTCGTCACTCCAGAGAACACGTCTCCACTTCTCTAGAGTCCAGTGGCGGCATGCTTTACACAACTGCATCCGACGCTTTGCACTGCACTTGATAATGCAAGGCTTGGATGCAGCTGCTCGGCCATGGAAACCCTAGTCCAGTGGTGGCGAACCTTGGCACTCCAGCTGTGCCA